CCCCCCCCCCCGCTGCCCCACAGGGACAGGCCTGCTGAGTGGCGTGCTGCTGGGGAATTCAGCATCCACTTGAATGAGCCAGAATGGGACGCATATTGGCGGGGTGTGGGCAGGATTGCCCGCCAGCCTTCAGGGGTCGGATGACCTCTTTGGAGACGAAAGGCACCCAGCTGAAACATGGGCCTGGGCTGGGCAGGCTTTCTCCGGCAATGGGGCCGTTGGTGCATTTGCTTCACTGCCTGTGAGCGTTCTCCATCTGGGCCTCCGGCAGAGTCACTCTGTTTGGGGAAATGGTCCTCCACCTATTTATTTATTTATTTTATTTATATCCCGCCTATCTGGTCAGGCGAGGACCACTACTGCTGCTCTGCTCTCACGTGTCTTCCCCTTTCTCTCAAGAGGGATATGGAGCAGCTGGGGACAGAGCAGTCTGCTTAGAGGATTCGTCCCACACCCTAGTGTTCTCTTATGAGGGAGAACTATCAGGCAGAGGGGTCAACTTTCAAACAAAGGATATTATTTTGAGAGAGGTGGTCTCTTCCTACTGGTGGGGGACACTCGAGAGAAATCCTCACCCCCTGCCTCCCCGACCCATTTCTTTTGTGACATGTGCCTGTGCCCCCCTCCCCTTCTCCAGCCTTGCCCACAGCGTCCTGCTGGTTCTGCCTCGCCAGCCCAGAGGTGGAGAAGCATCTGGTTGTGAGCATCGGCACCCACGTAAGTCTCTTCCTGCCTTTGGTGGAGGGGCTGGTGTGGGGGGGGTGTCGGGTGGGGGGGCCTCACTGGACCTCCCTCCATTGCAAATGGAGGCAGACGACCTCTGCTCTTTCTTGGGCATTCTCTGAGCTGCCAGCCTTATCTTGGTCCCTCTTCACTGTGGGGGGTGGGGCAGTGAGTATCATCTCCACCAGTCCCCTGGACGGGAGCATCTGCTTGCAGCCCTTGTGAACAGGTCACACCTTGCCTTGCCAGCTCTGAGGTGCGCCTGTGAATGAGCCATTGCTGCTGTTTTGGACCTCTTTTCTTCTCTTTCTTTTTTGCCAGCAATGCACTGGTGATGGTAGGTCTGTTTCTTTGCCCTAGTGCTACCTGGCCTTAGCCAAAGGGGGCCTGTCCCCCGACCATGTTCTAATCTTGCCCGTTGGACACTGCCGCTCAATGGTTGAACTGGCTTCCGAGGTGGTGGAAGAGGTGGAGCAATACAAGTCGGCCCTGAAAGAGTTCTTCAGGGCCAGGGGAAAGAGATGGGTGGCCTACGAAAGGAACTACAAGAGCCAGCACCTCCAGCTCCAGGTGAGCAGCGCCCGGGTGGGCCTGGCCCACTTTGGGGACCTCTTCTCTGGCCCTTGGCTAGGGGGACTCCACTTGGTCCCTCAAGGACTCCCTAAGAACTGCCAGATGGTCCCCCCTCTGCTTCCTCCCAGGGCCCAAGTCAGGCCTGCATCTGCATGTTGTCCTCCCGGGGGTGGGCTCAGCTGCTCGTTGCTCCTCTCCTGGCACCGGGAGCTACTGTGGCAGTTCCCACCTGGCTGATCAGAGGCAGTATCTGAGCAGCATCCGGCTGCCACACAGAGCATCAAGGAGACAAGAATGCTGTGGGTTCCTGGGAGAGAGAGAGACAGGAGCCCTCCATTTTTCGTCTCCGATAGGAAGATTGTTGTTCTTAAAACGTCTTTTCCTCCAAGTTCATAAGTTTAAGTCTGCAGGCGAGGCGTTGGCCTTTCCCCTCCATGATGAGGTGTGCAACTGAGGGGATCCCTGACAGTCGGGGCCCCAGTGATGGCGTCCCCGTGATGAGCCTTCGTGGTTTCCTCTGCTCCCGTGGTCCTGTGCTCACCTCTGAAATCCCACTGCAGGTGGTCCCTGTCCCTCAGGACTGCTGTGTGACTGAAGACATCAAAGAGGCCTTTCTCAGTCAAGCAGAGGAGCATCGAATCGAGCTGCTAGAGATACCTGAACATTCGGCTCTCAAGCAAGTAGGTACAAGAACTCTGTGCGTTTACTCCAGGCTGAGTAGTTTTAAGAAGCCTGGAGATGGCGTTCAGCCTCTCCTTCCGCATGGATTTCAGAGGAACAGAAGCCGTCTGCACAGACATTCAAAACTTATTTTATTAGACCTGGGAGCACAACAGGCAAGAATGTCATGAAGTTAGAGCCTCATGACTTCCCTTTTGTTTTTGTTTTTGTTTGTTTGTATTTTCGCTGGATGAGATTAACTCCCCCCCAAAAAAACACTCAATAAATGACAATAAGTCATTAGGTTTTTTTAGAAAACGATCCTGCCTTGGCCTAACACAGGTTGAGTTGGCAGGACTGAAATGGGGGGGGGGGTTAGGGGGAGCTTTTTCAGACCTTTCTTTCTTTAAACGATATGCAGGGAGACACAGCTGTGCTCTGCGATTTCCCCCATCCTGTTTTGTGTGCCTCGGAACATTTTTGAGAATTGTCCCGTCATTCCTCAGACCCTCGTAAGAATGATTTTCCAGTGGCAGGATGCCAAAGTTAGGAAAGGAACATCTCCTCTGGAAAAAGCCTGAATCCAGAACTGAAGGCTGCAGTTTGAGCTGTTCCCAGGGCAAAGCACATGGGGCATCTTCCCAGACCTCAGCGATTCAGAGGATCTGGGCCGTCTTGCGTTTGCCCTTCTAGCGCTCGCTCTTGGTAACTAATTCACTGGAGAATGGCAAGCAGAATGGAGGGGGAGCCTCTGGGGGCTGAGGCTCCTAGTTGCACCCTGCAGATGTGGAGCTGTTTCTGCCGGGGGGGCGTCCCTTGGGGAGCAGAGCTTTTGACTCCCACTCCTCCCAAAGCCTTTGAAGTTGAGGGGTGCTTTACCGTGATTGGCCTTTGGTGCTCCCTCCTGCAAGCCCAGCGCGTGGAGCTTCTGGGCCAAACCGGGAGCAGGATGTTTTTGACCCACAGGCAAGCTTCTTGCCCACGTGACTACCCAGGGTCTCCTTTTTCACTCCAGTCCTCTCCTGTCCTAGCTAGGCTGGCCAAGAAAATGTGGATCTGTTCCAGAGGCAGCAGAGCCTCTCTTCTGTAGCCAGCTGGACAGCTAATGCATCATCCTTTTCCTGCACTCCAGCCTTCCTTTGAGGATGGGCAGAAAGAAAGGCTGCAAGGGGGAAGCCCATGTTTTGTTCTTCTGTTTTTTTCCTCCCAGATAGTTCAGCCAGGCATGCCATATTTTTACGTTGAGCTGGATAATGGAGAGAAGCTGTTCCACCGGATTGGAAAGAATTTCCCCCTTCAATTTGGAAGGTTAGTAAATGCTGGTTATTTTGCTGGTCCTTCTGCCCTTGCTGGTGAACCAGCAGCCAAAGAGGGCAAGAAGTCAAACAGCCTGTGGAGAAGGGCAGGAGCTGAGATATGGAGCCGGACCCAGGCCTCTTGGCTAACAGGCCACCCCTTGCCAACACTTCCCTCCATCTTCCCTTTACCTTTCTGGCTTTCACAAGGAGCCTCCCTCCTTTTGGCTTTCTTCCCACATCCCCTGAAATAAGACCTAACCTGAAAAATAAGCCCTAGTGTGATTTTTCAGGATGCTCGTAATATAAGCCCTACCCCCAAAATAAGCCCCAGTTAAGTGAGACCCAGCCCTCCACCCTTGTGCAGCAACCAGAAGAAAAATGACATGACTGCATTTGAAGAAATGTAGATTTTATACATGAAAAAAATTAAACCTCCCCTGAAAATAAGCCCTAATGCGGTATTTGGAGCAAAAATTAATATAAGACCCTGTTTTATTTTTGAGGTAACGCGGTATTTAAGGGGCAATTGTCAGCCTGAGTTCACCCCTTGTTTCCCTCCCCCCCCCCCCCCAGGGAAGTGTTGGCCAGTGAAGCTGTCCTGGGAATGCCTGGCCGGGCAGACTGGAGGAGCTGCCGTATGAGTCGGGAGGAAGAAGCAGCTGCAGCCCAGGACTTCCGGAGAGCCTTTGAGCCCTTTGACTTGGCCCAAGCAGAGTGAGCACCTGGACAGCACTTGCCATTGGGGGAATGGCAGCGCGCACGTTCCTTGCTTTCGCTGTCTGGACATGGCCAGCCGTGGGAGGTGGCCAGGGGTCCAGCAGGTTTTTCCAGGGGCCACATCATGGCAGGAATCAGGTTCAGTCCCTGACCTCACTAAGGAGACGGCTTCTTCTGCTGAGGACGCCCTGCCTTGCCCAGTCCCTCCTTCACCATGGGATGGATGTTTTTTTGGTTGTTTTTTGTTTGTTTGTTTGTTTGTTTTTGCTCTTCCTGCTGGCTTTCTGTTCTCTTTGCTCCCGTTGATTTTTGGGTTCTAGAAGAGAAACACCCAGAAAAGAAGGAAGGAAGGAAGGAAGGGGTGCTGCTGGATGCACAGTCAGCACTTTGAAAACTGCCAACTTGAGAGTGGAAGACCCAGACCTTTGCCCGACCCCCATCATAGCATTGGCGAAGGGGCCTGTGGGGGTACTGGTGTGGTGTTTTGAGCCAGACCCATGCAGGAAAGTAGCAAAACCTAAGAGAGACAGAACATGTAATGAACAGGACCAGTTGTGTGTGCTAGGTAAGCGGGAGGTTATACCTGCAAATCAGAGCAGTGGCTGTTACGTTACGTGAATTTCCAGTGCTGGTGATCCTTCTTGGATTTTGGTGTGAACTCTTAACCTTAGGGCCAAATGCCAACATTTGGAGATGGATGGACCATGGAGATTGTGGTAGTCTGCTTGTGTGCTATAAAAACATTCTTAATAGTAAAAAAATAAACAATAAAAATCCTGGTTTCTCTATATTAAATATATGAATCTGTTTCTGTTGGGCAATTGCTAACTAGCTAATGCTGAATAAAGTGGAGCTACATTTGGGCAAACTCTCCCTCCCCTTCAGCTCAGTTAGGGTGTTACCGGCCACTTTTGAGTTCTAAATAATGAGCCTCGTGGCGCAGTGGTTAAAACGCTGTACTGCATCTAAAAACTGCGCATGATGACACTTGTTGGGGGGGCGCTTGCGAGAGGGGTAGGACATCTGTGTCTGTGGCCTGGTCCTGGATAGGCTGCGGACCGCTGCCAGGTTGCAGAGCGGGGGTTGGGGACCTCTGCAGTCTAGAGTGGTTTAAGTGTGCTGCTTATATACCACCCCATAGTACTTCAAGCACTCTCTGGGCGGTTTACTAAAGTTAATTATGCTTCTAGCCCTCCTCAGCCTAGAATCCCCTGTGTTATGTTGGTGTCCTCCATGGGTGTGCCCTGTAATATTATGGGTGTGCTAAAAAGCAGTGGTCTAGGGTCAGCCCCTGGAATTCTACTCCTCTTGGGTTTACCTTTTGTTAGTCAGTGTCTAATCTATAGCAAAGTCTCTCCTCTTTCCTCCTCTTGTTTGTGGAATGTTGTCCAGAAATCGCACAGTTGCTGGTCAGCCTGGACTTTTTCGAGAAGGGGAAATTCAGCTCGGTCCTTGGGTTCTCCTTGAGGTGTGAGATGTTAACAGGAATTTTGTCCATTTCCCCCCTTCCCTTCCCTTCCCTTCTCTTCCTAGTCTTCCATGTCCAGTACCGGATCGGTACTGGGGGGGAGGGGATGCTATTGGGACAATCTTAGGACTACATATCCCATTCTAATACACATAAAAACACAAACCATCACAGTGACTATGAGCCAAAGTTTTTAAAACATGTCACAAAGCTCCTGTCCCACCAAGGAATCTCTGTAATGGAGGGGGCATTCACAGAGAGAACTCCAAGCCCCTCCTTCTGCTCTTCTGCCCCACAGCTTCTCATACGGACAATGATGTTGAAAACGCCCTTAAGGGACTCAGTGATAAGTGGTTGGTTGTGTTTGGGGGGGATAGGGTTGGGGTAGCCTTTCTGTCTGTCTGTGGCTGTCAAAATGTCAGTAGCCTCTTCGGACAAGTTCAAGCTGAAGAAGGTAAAGAACACCCACACATTTTCTCCTCCTTGATGCATCAACATTGACATGTACTTAGTGAGTTTTCATTCCTGCACAAGAGTGGAAAGATCAGCCCTGTTTTTTTTTCCTAAGCAGCAACGTTGGAGAGAAAGTCCAGAAATGCGAGTAATGCATCAGATGCATTATTTTTGTCCAGCAAAGAGAAATATTTCATCTTCTGGCAGAGATGGGTGGTTGGAGAGTAAAACAAATGATGCAGCAAGATCAGAGAGAAGTGGAACATCGTGGGGGGACATTGAATAAGGAGGTCCTTATTGCTGGGGCCACTTGCTGTTTTGATTATGAGCAAGCTAATTAGCACTCCCTCGTCCCCCTCCCACCGTTTCTGAGGCTCTGTGAGGATGGCATTGACCTTCAGGAGTCTTTGGGAACCTCTGAGCAAGGAGAGCCGGGGCCTGGGAGCAACCGTTTTCGGACCTTAAAGGTTCTCCGCTGCCTTGAGGCTCCCTGGGAAGCTTCAGAGGTTTTTTTTGGGGGGGGGGGTGGAAACATTTAAAGAGGAACATCTAAGGCTGAAGCCCTTGTGCACTTCGACTTACTCAGCATGGTGTTGGTTGGCGGCTCGCCCTGTATGTAAATATCTGCAAGCGAACGAGTAGCTTGAGAAGTTCACAACGCGGAGGCCCTGGGTATAAAACATGGACCCAGAAAGATTAAACAAGAAGGCTGTTTCTGAGCTGCAACTTCGATGTGTCATGGAAAAAGGGAGGAAGAGAGGAAGGCCTGGCTGAGGGATCAGCTTCGCCTCCTCTAGAAAAGGACGTCTCCTCCGCCCTTGCTTTTTTTACCCCCACCTGGCCAGGAATGTATGGGTCTCTCCTCATGGGTCTCCCCTTTTCTTCCTGCATGGGAAGAAGCGGGCTTCGGTCCCCACCAATTTATTTATTTATTTATTTATTTATTTATTTATTTATTTATTTATTTATTTATTTATTTAACTTATATGCCGCCCACACTACCCGAAGGTCTCTAGGCAGCTTACAGCATTTAAAATACAATAAAAAGGCAAAATAAAAGGGCAAAATAATTAAAATGCAATTAAAATATATATTCTAAAAATTGCCATTAGACCTACAGCTGATATTATTTCAGTTAAAAGCCATTTGGAACAGGAAGGTTTTGACCTGGCGCCGAAATGTCATCCTAAAGAGATGACACATGGCTGAGTGACACCTTGGCTGGATTACCGCCATGTGTTGTATGCAGGGCTGCTGGTGCATAGGACAACAGTCACATGACACACACACACACACCACTGGTTCACTGTCCCAGGTCCAGCCTCTAGGGTGGGAAAAACATCTTTCTCAGGAGAGAAATTCGGCCGGAAGAGGCAGAAGTGGACAATGGTTCTGGGAATGGACCAGTGGCCTCAAGTCACTGGAAGACATCTTCTAGGAACTAGTGTAAATGCCAGGATACAACTACAGTACATTTACCGTTTTTTAAAAATTTACCTTTTAGCCTGAGACAGGAAACATGCACCCCTTGAAAAATAATTTCTGCTCACTCACTCCTTTTAGTCAACCTTGGATTTATTAAAGAACTAACTGACCCCTTTCCCCTTTTATAAATTCCCCTCGCTCCAAAGAGGGCTTTCACCATCTGTACGATACACAAGCTCTGAGAAGAAGAAAAAGAAGAAGAAAGCTTCCCAGAGAACAGATAAAGACTTCTTGGAAAGGAGGCTCCGCTTCTCTCTTGGGGGAACCTATACAAAGAACAAGACACACCCCCCTCCCGCCAGAGAGCGGCAAGGGCCTCCTCCTAGGCCCTTGTACGGAAGGAGCAGGGATGGAAGGGTGTTCAGCAGGAATGCTTATTCAGATATCAATAGGGAATCCATCTTTTCCATAAACACGTTGGGGGGGGGACTTTTCCAGCGGTGAGGGATTCATCCTGTCTCGCCTTCTTGTGGAGTCCCTTCCGTTCACCTGGAAGGCAGGAAAGCTGCCCCGGAGAGTGAAGGCGACAGAAAGAGGAGGAAGCCTTTTCCCGGGCCAGCCTTGCCCACACTGGTGCCCCCCCAGAGGCTTTGGACTGCCCTGGCCACCCCCAGCCTTGGCCATGGGGCCTCCGCTTTTTTTTGGGGGGGGAATGATTGGAGTCATGCTCCAAAGCATTGGGAGGGCACCGTTGAGGGAACCCTCTTCCAGCCAAGACCAGGCCCTCCCTCTTGCAAGCAGAATTCTCCTCCTGGGGGGTAATTCTAACTGGAGGTGGCTTCCCCCCCCCCCCAGGAAGAGGAGGAGGAGGAGGAGCTCCTGCTAGGAATTCCAGAACGGCCTGGGAGCCCTCACCCCTGGCATGAATGTTCAGCAGGAGATTTGCATGAACCCCTAGGGAGCGGCTGGGAGGCGGAGCCAGGCAGATCAAAAAGGGGGAGGGGCTCTTGCAGAGGGACACCATTTTGAGAGGAAACAGGGAGGAAAGGTCAGGAGAGAAAGGAGGATCCTTTAAATTCTGAGGCAGAGAGAGTGTTCAGGGACTGAAGAGCCGGAGCGCTATTTGTATTCGTTAAGATAGAAGAGGTTACATATGCAGTATAAGCAAAAAAAAACCCAACTGCAACCTAATGAAAGACGTTTGTTTGTTTGTTTGTTTGTTTGTTTGTTTGTTTGTTTGTTTGTTAGATTAAGTACTGAATGGACCTCAGTCTTTCCTAGGAAATATAACTGGGAAAGAGATCAATGGGTGGCCCTTTATTACCATGAAAGGAGCCCCCAGGCCAACAGCCTCCCTGGTCAGTTTGTCCTGTCACAATAGAAAAACCAGCCTTCCCCTCCTCACACGCCCTTTGCCCCAACACTTTACTGTTTCCAGTAAAGAGAGCGGATTGTGAATATTTGTCTACCTTTTGAGGAGATGTCCTATTGCAGAAATTCGTCTATTGATTGATTTCATTTCATTTTGGCCTTTTTTTTGACATCTGCCAATTGATTTAATCAACCAATTTTTGCCTTCTGGCCAATTAACAACTTCAATCATGGATGTGAAATTAAAGAAAGGTAAGTTGAGGGAAGGGAGGAGAGACTTGGAAACCATTCCTTCTTCACACTTTTGGTCTTCCTTGAGTGTGTGGAAGTAGATAGGTGAATGGTGCACTCTTGGTGCTGTTTGGTAGACTGTTAATTTAATCTGTCTTGCATTTGCAAGAAAAGCAGGGCTGCAAAATGGTAAAAGTGGTTACCCGAAGGAGCACAGGTAGAAGAAGATGTGATTGATGGTCTTAGAACCACAGAGCTGGTAGGGACCCTCTGATCCTCGAGGCCAGCCCCTGTCCAGGAGGCACATGGTGGGGAATCGAACTCCCAGTGTCTGGCTCTGCAGACAGATGTCCAAATGCAGATGCAGACCAGCTGGAACAGGTGCCAAGACGGGCAACAAGGAGGATTGGGGAATTGGCAACCAAGCTCTATGAAGAAAGACGGAAAGATCTGCTGGCATGTTAGCCTTGGGAAAAGAAGGTGGAGGGGAAATAGAATCGCACTCTTCAAAGACCGGAAAGGGTGCCCGACAAGAGGAGGGGCAGGATCTCTTCTCAGTCATTCCATAGCGCCTAAGAATGGGCTCAAGGAAGAGGAAGCCAGAGTTCAGCTGAATATCTGGAAAGAACTTCCTGACTGTTAGAGCAGGATGCCAATGGCTCCAATTATACCTTGGGAGGTGCGCATTTCAACAGTGGAAGCATTCACGGAGCATTAGACAGCCATCTCTTAGATATATGTAGTTGGATTTGGATTCCTGCCTTCAGAGAGCAGGGAGTTGGTCTCAATGGCCTTATAGGCTTCCTCTCTAGTGCTTATTGTGGCCAGGGGAATGTATTGTTAAACA